GGGGGTTACTAGGCGGAGAAAATGAGAGGGTCACTATGTAATGTCTGTGTAGGAGGGATATATATATAGATAGATAGATACTTTGGGTTGAGAAGTTAGAGGTCATATGTTTGGAGAATAAAGCAAAATAACAAAGGTCCATTGGAGAATGCCTGGGGGGAGGTGGGAAGAGAGGCCAGTGTTATCAAAGGCGAAGATAGAGTCATATGTTTAGTGTCGCCTCTTTAGGATTACGCTCATTGGCAAGGAAAATTATGCCTTAAAGCCTTGATGACGACACTGAAGCGCCTTCTAAGCGAGGCAAAGCGCTCAACCTTGCGTAAAACCAGAAAGCACATGTCAACCTTGGTATGCATTCTGAGATTTTGAACAATTATCGGCAAAAGAATCTTCCAATGTTGATTTTCTTTTTAATTAAAACCAACATTGAGTTTGGGGTTTTCAAACTTGCTCTCTTTTATGGAAGTACCGGGTTGTCTTTATGATTTACCTGCATTAGCTAACTAGTGGTATCGTATTGATAGACGTAGAGATGTTCTTTCTGTATTTCCTTAATCTTATTCTTTGTTACTATGCATTTGTGTTGATCCTGACACATGATATGTTTCTTCGTGGTGCCAATTTGTTTCAATTCACAAGTAATTTGGACTTATTTGTTTTTTCATATAAACTTAACAGCCAAGCCAGTGTTATTTTTACCTCCCCGACATCTCTGAGTATGAAGTTTTGCATCTATATTAGTTGCAGGTGAATATAGTCACTGGACATAATTGGGATATAAAAATAACATATATCATTTGACTGTGCAAAAAATTTGTCTTGCCATCTTGTCCATAGCCATTAGCTTCTATTAATTTTCTAGCTTGTTACACTATGGATTATCTCAATTTCTTTCTTTCTTTAACCATTTCTCGAATTAGAGTATACTTTTTCATGTCAGGGTAAGCTTCTTTTTTAACATTGTCATGCCACCTCTTCTTCATTTAAGAAAAACACATTGTTATTAAGGCAAAGCACAAGTGAGATGCATCGTTTATTTATGTTGGTTACGGCTTTTTCCTCAAAATCAATATTTTTACAGTTATGGCTATAAGGTTCTTATTGGATGATAAGCTAACATGATTGTTACTAGTCGATAAGTGGTATATCTATTTTTTACTCCTACAATCAATTAGGGGGTCAGTATGGTTGCTACTTTGAATTTTTCTTGAACTTTTAGTATCACAATTTTCATGGTAGCTTCATCATCTTGCCTAAGTAATAAAAGACTGGTTAAGGGATGTGCTTATTAAATAAAAGACTTGTTATGGGACGTGAAACAAGAAAGAGAAACTAGAGTAGAAGAGAGAAATCTAGAGAGAACCTAGAGAATTCTTACTTGATGATCCTTATGTTACAAAGCACACCTATTTATTGGTGTAATCCTATACAAAACCTAAAAGTTTGTGTAAATGTAATAAATTATTGGGGCTATACTTTAATTGTGATTATTCATTCCTTGACTTTGGTTTTTTTTTTTTATTAGGTATTTTTGACTTTACCATTAATCTCCATGTGGGTGAGCTAATCTTCTTGACCTTTATTCATGTTATCACTTATTCAATGTGGATGTCTTCTAATGATCCTTCTCAAGTTAGAGCGTAAAAATATAGGCTCCAAGTTTACGCACCTGTGCTCGATTCTTGGACCTCGGGGTGCTTTGGTAAACATGTCTGCAAACTGATCATTTGAAATAACAAAATTGGTAGAGATAATCTTGAGTAGTATTTTCTTACGTATAAAATGACAATTGATCTCAATGTGTTTTAGTTCTTCGGGAATTACTGAATTATACACAATGCACATTGCAGTTTGATTGTCACAAAACATTTCCTTTTCTGTAATTTTTCAAATTTTAACTCGAGTAACTGCTCGACCACCTAATTTCACATATTTGCAAGGGCATAGTTCTATACTTTGCTTTGAACCACATTTTGCATCTTACTTCTTCAAAAGATTTACGTTCCGCCATTTAATACGATGTAGCTGCACACGGACCACCTGTTAGATGGAGATCCGACCTATCCTCCATTTGCATAATAGAAAATTTTGTTGGTTCCTTGATCATTGTATAAAATTATATGGAAGGAACATCCCGTGACTATCATTTAGGATCTTGTGGAAATTGACTAATCACTAACGACACTGACTTCAGATGAAATATCCGGGCAATAATTTGATTTCCCTACTAATTACTTATGGTGTTCTGGTTCTGATAGGGGCTCCCCTGTTCCCGAAGTGTGCTCATTGATCGTCAGTTAGTCATACTAGTTTTATCCAAAATCTAGAGCAAGAGATGACTACATTCTAGTTGGACTGAACAACGTCTATGCTGAGGCGAAATTTAAGCCTCCTAATTTCTTGGTTTGAAAGCGAGTAAAGAGCTGACTCTTTAGCGCCTCAATCTCTTTTTGTTCATCTCTAGCTCTGACAACCATATACGACAAGGTATAGACTCAAACCCTGTGCCTTGTGTCAACAGAAGTGAAATGATCCAGTTTACTAAGGACAAATCCAGATTGATGACTGCAGAACTGAAGTGTCCGGACTATGCTCGTGAAGATTGTCTCAAATCATAAAGATGATCAATGAAGTTGACATGCTAAACCAGGCTATATCTTAAGCAACAAAAAAGGTGTTTGCTCATTTATAGACTTCTTCCTCTAAGCCACCATGCACGTTTTCTATCAAGTTGATAAACATGCTAATGTCTCATGGCAGCCACAGATACGAATGCTCATAGATACAATCTTAGCAACAGGAGAGAAATAGACATCATCCTATCCATAAACCTGAGTGTATTCTTCGTTCAAAAGATTAGCCTTGAGCTGATCAACTTGTCCATTTGGCCTAATATGTACATGTTACCAATGATAGCTATGTTCAGCCAGTAATGGTACTAATTCAAAGACTTATTCACATATAGGGCAGGTGTTTTATCAAAAACTTACATCATAAAAAAGGCAGGTGCTTTATCAATCATCACATGTTTCCATTTGGGACACTTGTAGACCTAAAAATAGACTAAGAAGATAACGATGGAAACTTAAGAAGATATAAGTGGGGAGAGGGTAAATACTTTTCTTACGGCATAGAGAAATCCTATGTCAGAGCGTAGTCCTTGTTGAAATAGGCGCCGATAAAGACACTACAAGATTGATCCTTGCGCCATGTAAACTAAGCCTGCTATTTAAGTAGAGAAGGGTAGAGCGGCAGACCCATCATCCCCAAGTTCTGAGGGTTGCGGTTGGTCTTAAGGGTTGGACGACTTTCTCGGTCATCTAAAAAAAAAAAACTAATCTGACACTAACTTGACTCAGAACCCATTCATTAGTATGAACAAGTTCAAATCGATATGCACGATTATTAACTCATCTCAGAGAGGATGTGTTTTTTTTCCCTTCAAGCTAGCAAGGGTCACTAGACATTCACTGAAGTTTTGAAAGATGTGGATGTCCACGACTATGGATAAGTGGAGGAGTGAACATCAGTGGCCGCGCATGGAAGATGAACTAGCAGAGAGAAGTAAAGCCCTTGTCCACTCATGCCTCCATATCATACCTCGTTCCTGCACAAGAACATATGTATTGCTAAATTGATAGAACAATCAAAGTCTTTGGCAAGTTTACTGATTTTAGAGTTTTAGGCTTCTGAATAAAAAAATCTAGTAGGTATGAGACAAAGAGTTGGTGAGGCAAGAGACTTGAGTTGACTTGTTTGTGCCACATAGGTAATAGATGATTCCTTAGCTATAGGAACTTATCTTAATTAACACTAGAAATCATGGTGGTTGATTTTGATTTTCTATTTGGACTACAGTTGCAGCACCAGATGACAACACCATATGTAGAACATGTGTTTTTGATATTTCCTCTACCGAAGTGGGTGCAGTTAAATGGATCCCTTAAAGGATGGGGTCCTTTATCTCGACAAGAAGCTTCTATCATTTATCTGGTGGGAAGTCAGTTCAGAGGTTTCCATAATGCTGGCTCAAGCCTCAGTGACTTTAAGGTTTATGCTTCAAAGAGATAAGCTTAGAACAGACAGATAAATAACATATACCATGGAATGTCTATCATGTTGCTTCTTCCATTTATGTATTTGGTAGTGAATGCCTGAATGGCATTGATGAATTGAACTGCACCCTTACCTGTTTGTTATTCCTGATGTGTGTGGACATATCATCATCTCTCTAGTTGAACCCTAGAAATTCATAACGGACATTGTCATACTGTTGGATTTCACTTATATACAACATTTTGTAATATTCCAACCCCTGTAGTGAGGAAATTGTATACAAGTTAGGCACCTTACATCAGTTAGGATTTTGTCCACTCTTGCCTTCTCTCTCTGCTATAAACTGTGTTTCTTACAAAAAGTCAAACATGAAGCTTGATTAACTTTTAACTGTACCATTTCCATGTAACGTTCTCTTAGGAAGTGAAACTGACTGAGTGATAGTAGTCTCCCTATCACGTTAGCTAGATGGTGAATCAGAGCATACCATGGAGTTACGTGATTCGATGAATAACTTTATTTTAGATTCCCCCCCTTTTTTTTTCCTTTTTCCGCTCTTATTTTCAACAAGGTAACCTTAAATCAATTCGGTTTTGACTGCCAAACCTCTTGACTTTTTTTCTTTCCTCAATATGAATTATGTGGATAAGGTTACATCCCCTGCCCCTGTTCGGCAATTTTTCCATTCTGGAGATGAGATTGTCTGCACCTTCATCTTAGTAAGATAACCCATGTAATTGGGGGAATGACCAATACATAAGTCATGTCTTACCTTGTCCCTCTATCGAGCTTGCTTAACTTGTAGTCGATACTGAAATAGCTGTTTATGCAATAGTTCACCTGCATGGTCTTTCCACATGATGAAGGCTGGCTGTGTCCACTATGAGCATGCACAAAGACACAATGATGACTTATTCAATGGCTAATGCACTTAATGTAATCAGCATCATTGCAATTTTCTGTGGAGTAAGAAGTGCCGAATGGAAAATTCTCCTTGTTTGTTCCATGTACATTTTTACAGAATTTATTTTTACAATTGTCCAATATATGGCTTACATTCTTTCACTTGGGAGTTTGGAGATGTTTTTCTGCCATTGATTTCTTCTGCTTGTCTTACTTTTTTCAGATTGCCTGCAGAGATTATCCACATCCACGACATCTTTGTGCTAAATTTCCCTTTGGTTCTACTCCACATGAAAGGCACTGTGATCAGGTAATTATATCCTTTGTTTGAAGTCCATTTTTTGTGCAAAAATTTGTAATCTTGATCACTATTCTCTTAATTTCAGTGCCATTGTTACGTTTGTGACACACTTGCTCCATGTGTCTACTGGTGCACTGGTGTTGCCCATTGTCATGCTACTGACAAGGAGAAGTATTGGAAATCACAGAGACAAAGCACAAGGAAAATTGATATACCGCTTTTATTGGTTCCTCCAGGCCCTAATACTTCAGTGTCTGTTCACCCGCCCGTATCTAACCAAGCTCCTGGTTTGGTTTGGAAATCACCTAATTATCCGCCACAGAACCAAAGAATTAGACAAGCCCCAATTCGTCCTTGTTCTATGTCAAGCAGTCCTGGGTTACCGAATTTAGCGAGACAGCGACTTACTGATCTTAGAGACAATTTTCATAGCCGTGTTGTCTCTCAACAGTTGCACAATGCAAGCATTAACGTTAGTCCAAGGGACAAAAGGCACAATGTTAGTCACATGGGTCCCCAGTTTTTTACTATCCGAACAGCGTTCAAAAGGGCAGGGTCATCTGGACAGGCTTTGGCAACTGGTAGATCGGGCTATAATTCATCCAGTGCTAGTTCTGTGCCTCAATTTGGTGGAAATCATTCTTCAGTGGCTAGGTGGCAAGAGCTTTATGGCAGGGTGCCTGTAGGCTCGAATAAATATCTCGCTTCCTCCCAGCCCAATGCTGGTATACTTGGTGCTAGTTCTGTTTCTTGCCAACTTCAACTACATAAGCAGCCTGGTCTTGTGCGTGCCTCTGCAAATTATGTATTAACAGAACCAGAGATACTCTCTCAGCCCAATGCTGAGATACGTGGTGCTAATGCTGTTTCTTCCCAACATCGACTACATGGGCAGCCTGCTCTGGTTGGTGTATCTGCAAATTATGCACCAATGGAGCCTGCGATTCCCTCTCAGCCCAGTGCTGGCATAGCTGGTGCTAATCCTATTTTTGTCCAAGCTCAATTACCTAGGCAGCCTAGTCTTGTGGGTGTATCTGCAAATTATGCACTGATGGAACCTGAGATATCCTCCCAGCCCAGTGCTGGCATGCTTGATGCTAATGCTGTTTTATTCCAACCTCAATTACCTAGGCAGTCTAGGTTTGTGGATGCATCTGCAAATTATGCACCAATGGAACCTCAGATACCCTCTCAGCCACAAGTTAGTGTATGTGCAAATTCGGCGTCTTCGGAAGCTCCAGCATTCTCTCTACCCTATGCTAATTCATCACCTTCTCAACCTCACTTATCTACACTTCCTAGTGTTCTAAGTGAATTTGAAAGTTTTATTTCATCTGAAAATGCAGTATCCTCCCAGTCAAAGGTGGGTAATATGTACAATAACCCATTATCATCTGAAGCCCAAATGTTCTCTCAACTTTATGCAGCCGGAAACTCTACTAACAATTTGCCTCAGCAATCTTCGGTGTCCCAGTTGTCCAATCAGCCAGATGATGGAACCTCATCTAGAAGTTCAATCCCCTGCAATGGCCATTTGCCTTCCCCTGCTAGGACAGGAAGCGCCTCTGGAAGCAGGCACGAGAACACTTCTGCTTGCCAGCCTAAACTATGTAGACAGCAAATTTCATCATCTGATAGCCAAAGTACTTCCCAACATGGATATCAAGGCGAAAATGCTTTTGTTCTAAGTTTCGAAGAATTTGACTTTGGTTGGGAAACACATGTTAGCCAAACTAACAATTTGGGTAAGGTATATAATCCTAACCTTGCAGAGTCAACGGAGATAAGTAGATTTTCTCAGTCAATTGAAAGCACACCCGATTTGGACATTCTGTATGATGATTGATTATTTTCTGGACCTTCAGAGGCACCAGTTTCCACAGGATTCAACATATTGTCCCCTGAAGTTCCTCCTGTAGATTCTGGATTCTTTGTTGACTTTTAAATGTTGGAGGTATTCTTGATGAAACATAGCCTTTTCGTTCCTTCAAAGTTTTTTCTTTTGAAAACAAAGTTAGGAATGCTTCTCCCCTTTAAGGGTAGAAGAGTACATATTGTTTTGAAGAGGTAGGGTTAACGGGTTAAATATTCTTTTGGTGTAAACTGCTTTTGCATCTAAGAGACCAATTTCATCCACCTGTACATGGTAGTACTAATTTCTTATGTAAAGCTATATTAATAGCAGATGTTTTCACCAAAAACTGACTTCAATGGAGAGATGATCTACAATTGTCAATTTTTATGGATATCAGTGCTTGGCGTAGACCTGATTGGTTTTACGGCTACTGGTTTTTAGCAGTTTTGCATTAAGATTTCACCTGAACATGGTACTAATTTCTTATGTAAAGCTATCTTAATAGCAGCTATTTTTACCAAAAACTGACTCTACTGAAGAGCTGATCTATAATTGTTAATTTTTATGGATATTAGTGCTTGGCTTAGACCTCATTGGTTTTATGGCTACCAGTTTTTACCAGTTTGCATCAGTTAAGATTTCACCTGTACATGGTACTATACCGGTGCTCGACTTGGACCTCATTGGTTTCATTTGCTACCAGTTTTGTAACAGTTGAGAATTTTTCTTTAATCTGACGGTGAACGTGATATGGCGTCATCTGTCTAAGCTCTAATGGAAATCGTTCCATGGTAGTTGTGCTAGTGGGAGGTAGCAAGTAGTGGCGGAAGCAGGATTTCCACTAAGGAAATTCAAAAAATTATAAAGGTAAACACGCGAAAAAGCTAAGGGGATTCAACATCTAATATATGTACTGACTTTATATACATAATATAATTTTTGGGCGAAGAGGGTTAGCAACCTCCTTCTGCCCACCTAGCTCCGCCTCTGGTAACAGGTACTTGCAAGTTAACTCGGATAACCACTGCTATAAAAAGAAAAAAGAGAAACGGCACTGGTTGGATAGTAGTTGTACTATGAAAATAACAGGTTCTTGATAGCATGATGTGAAATTTCTATCTAATTAGATTATGGAGATCATCTAGTCAATTGATTACTTAAGACAGAAATAACGTGACCAAATAACGTGACGTTATATTAATTTCTGGTATTACTAATCTCCGCATACTTTATTTTTAAGCCAAACGATCTGCTAATGTATGAAAGCTTGAAACCAACAGATATCCGGTCAAATTTTTTGATAGACTTGTAAAAGTACAACATTGTAAAGAAAAAGCAAGTCTTTTTCAAAATAAAAGAGAGAAAAGCGATAGTGAAAATATATTAATTAGCATAACTATGAGAGTGTGAGCCCTGAAAATAAAAAAAATTCTAATAGAGAATGCTATAATCCTTCATTTGCAGTCAACCTCAACCTTTTGGCTTTGCCCGCTGGCAGCTGAATATTTTGATCAGGTTCGATTCATGATTGCATCTGCAAATCTTATTCTATGGGCTTTAACAGGCGTCTTTCATTCTTCGCCCGGTCCTTAATAGCCTTTGCAAAGTCAACTTAATGGGTTATATATAATGGATCGATGCGGTTCGAATTAGTGGGGGTGGAAAAAAAGAGCCAAAATACCATGGGATTATGGGAAAGCCAGTTTTTAAACTAGTAATTAAAAAATAGGTAATGTTTGCAAAGTAATTAAAATATATCCGCTATTTAATATGGAGATAAAATCTTGACACGAATACCTTTAGCTGAGACACGAAAAAATATGCTAGATTATAGAACTTCTGCATATAAATTCCAGCATGTTATGCTGAAATTACAACACGTTATGAATTTCAGCACATTATGTTGGAATTTCATATATAAAATTCAAACTCTAGCATAATGCTGAAAATTTTCTGAACTTTAACTAAGAGTATTTTTGTTCAAATTTTATTTTCGCATGAAAAAGTGATTAAATTTTATTTAATTTTATGACTTTAATTAGCAATTATAAAGCAGTCTAATCTTAAATTTCTTCCCAAAAAAAAAAAAAAGAAACTCAAATTACTTTATCGGGGCCTCATACTGGTAAACGATCCAAATGGAAGTGCCGGAAGCCCATTTATTAAGAGAGTCTTCGAGAAAGTTCGACCCAATTGTCTTGCCGGAGCCTGAGGTCTCACCGCTGTTCATCTCAGTTTTGAACTCTGCGTCTCCATTTCAGCTCCGAGTACATACTACATAGAATAGAAGTTCCGTCAATCAAACAATAAGGATGGCGTTATGGATGGAGGCAGGTTCGGAACCAAAAACTGAGAAAGAATTGGCTGACCTCGATGCTATCTCCGCTCTCAAACAGTCTACCGCTGTTGAACTTAAGGTTTTTATTCGTATACTCTACTTTTACAACTCTACTTCGTTTGTATTCTCTTCCTACTTTTATATCCAACTAAACACTGGAAATGCTTACCTCAAAAGTTTTTCGCTGAATTTTTTTAATTTAAAACAGTGGTGTCCGCACAAACTTTCATTTTCCGTTATTTTATTTTCTTTTGACACTTAATTTTTCCAAGTTCAACCAACCATAGCATTCATATATGTGTTTTTTCTGGTTGCACATTTTAAATATGCCCTTTCTCTAGCACCCAAGGGTGTGGCCTAGTGATCAACGAAGCAGATTGAGAACCATGACATCTCAGGTTTGAATCCCAGTGGAGATAAAAATACTACTCCCGCCGTTTTAATTTATGAGTTAGTTTGATTTTGCATGAAGTTTAAGGGAAAAGACTTTTTAAACTTACCGTCCTAGAGCTTAAGGGGTAAAAGCTTAGTAGGACCGTGACATTTGTAGGGCTATAAAAGCTTCTCATTAAGGGAAAAATGGATAAAATAAAAAGTTTAAACTTAAATTATTTTCAAATATAGAAATGTGTCTTGTTTTTGAATGGACTAATAAGGAAAGTGTGTTATATAAATTGATTTCTTCCCATCTGTCCAAGCTTTGGTGTATAGAGTTACGTGGTACCTGTTGCTAGTGGAAGCTAGGAGGTACCATGCGCAATTAGTCGAGGTGTGTGTAAGCTGACCCGAACACCATGATTATCAAAAAAGAAAATGTTGTTTGTCTATGACTTTCATGTTTGATTCTCTTATCTGCAATATGAGTGAATATCCTAGTCTTTCTAAAATTCATATTGGGTTATTATGGTAGAAGCCTTTAAACGTATAAGGCAGTTATACTTCCATAAACTCTAGAATGAAGAGGGTGACAGTAATATTGTGTCGGGGGATTTAGAGCACTCCGAAAGTCGTCGAGATTTTGGGTATTGTAGGTGTATAAAGTTTGAGGAGGCTAAGGGGGCAATACGTAAGATGAGAGGGAGGAAAACGACTGGGCCAGGCGAGATTCTTGTGGAATTTTGAAAGAAAGAAGGCAAAAGTAGGTATGGAGTGGCTAATGGGGTTGTTTAATGTCATTTTAGGATGGCTAAAATGCCCGAAGAATGGAGGTGGAGTACGATGATTCCGTTGTACAATAACAAGGGTGATATTCAAAATTGTAATAACTATAGGGGTATTAAACTATTAAGCCACACTATGAAAGTGTGGGAGAGGGTGGTAGAGAGGATGAGGAGAGATATGTCTGATTTCGAGAACTAATTCGGATTCATGCCGGGGCGATCAACTACGGAATCCATCCATCTTTTAAGGAGATTGTTGGAGCAGTATATGGCTAGGAAAAAAGACTTACATATGGTGTTCATTGACCTAGAAAAGGCACATAATAAAGTTCCAAGGAGGTTTTATCGAGATGCTTGAAGTCTAGAGGTGTGCTTGTGACATACATTAAAGCGATTAAGGACCTGTATGATGGAGCCAAGTCCCGAGTGAGAATAGTGGGAGTAGACTCAGAACACTTTCCACTTTCCAGTCTAGATGGGATTGCACTAGGGATTAGCTCTTAGCCTGTTTTTATTTGCCTTGATTATGGATGAATTGACACGATATATTCAAGGGGAGGTACTATGGTGTTTGTTATTTGCAGATGCTATAGTATTGATTAACGAGACACGCGATGAAGTTAACGATAGGCTAGAGGTTGGGAGACAAACCCTAGAGTCTAAATGTTTCAAGTTAAGCATGACTAAAATAGATTACATGGAGTGCAAGTTCAGTGATGCATCACATGAGGCGGATGTTGAAGTGAAATTGATACTTGTGATGTTGAAGTGAAATTGATACTTAAGTCATCCCCAAAAGAGGACTTCAAGTATCTTGGGTCAATAATCCAAGGAAATGGGGAGATCGACGATGATGTCACACATCATATTAGAGCGGAGTGGATGAAATGGAGGCTTGCATCCAGTATCATATGTGATAAGAATGTGTCACCAAAACTTAAGGTTAGTTTTATAGAGTGGTGGTTAGACCAATTGTGTTGTATGTGGTATAGTAGCCAGTCAAGAACTCATACGTTTAGAAGATGAAAGTAGCGGAAATGAGGATACTTAGATGGATGTGTGGGTATAATAGGAAAGGTAAGATTAGGAACGAAGATATATGGGGCAAGGTGGGAGTGGCTTCCATGGGGGACAGCGGGAAGCGAGACTGAGATGGTTCGGGAACATGAAGAGGAGGAGCACAGATGCCTCAATGAGGAAGTGCGAAAGATTGGCGGTGATAGGTCTAAGGAGAGGTAGAGGTAGACCGAGGAAGAATTGGGGAGAGATAATTAGACAGGACATAACATGACACATCTTCAGTTCACCGAGGACATGACCCTAGCTAGGAGAGCATGGAGGTCGAGGATTAGGGTAGAAGGCTAGTAGGTAGTCGACCAATTTCTCTCTTTTTTGTGTGAGAGTATGATTCTAGTTTAGAGCGTCTTATATGCTCCCTCTTCTCCCTATCAATATTATTATTATTATTATCATCTTATTTTTCAATTATATTATTCCCTCCGTTTCAATTTAGATGAGGTAGTTTGATTTGGCACGGAGTTTAAGAAAAAAAAAAGACTTTAGAAACTTGTGGTCTTAAAAGCTTAAGGGGTAAAAGCTTTGTGGGGCCATGACATTTGTGTGGTTATAAAAGTTCTTATTAAGGATAAAATGAAGAGTTTAAAGTTGAATTATTTCCTATTGTAGAAATGTGCCATCCTTTTTGGAACGAACTAATAAGGAAAGTGTGTCATCTAAATTGAAACAGAGGGAGTACTATTGTTGTTTCTTTTACTTTGGATATCGTTACTATTTGTTGTCATTAGTTTTCTTTTCTTCACTATTTTTATCTTAGCTTTTTCGGAAAAGAGCCAAATATATCCCTCTACTTTTGTTTATTGTTCAATCCTATACTCCGTTATACTTTCCGTTCATATATACCCCTGTCGTCCAACAAAGTTCTATATTTACCCTAATTTTAACGGACATAACACGTGGTGCCATTTAAGCACAAGACCCGACCCACATCTTAAAAAACCCATGCCCACTTAAAACCCACGACCAAAGTACCACATTAAAGAATTCTTTGACCCGAAAAAAGGAAAAAGAGAAGCGTTTGACACTTATGCTCTGAGATTTCTCTGATGACTATTGATAGTCGTTTCCTTCATCTTGTGGGGTTTTGGGGGCCGTGAAGGGGAGTAGAGGAGAGAATGGGGCTACACAGGGTCAGTTATTGACCGAAAATGATGGAGGATCTGTGGTTTTTCCAGTGATGGTGGTCATTTCCCGGGTAGGTAACTTCCGAAAAAGAGGTAGAGAAAACGATGGGCGCACAATGCGATGTCGTTTTTAAAATTTTCACACTCTCAATGGGCTAATCTTCCTCCACTGACTGTCCGATTTTAGAGCCCTGTAAACATCGAGATTTCATTGGATGAATAGGCGTTGCTACTACTCTTAATTCTCTTGAATGGGTGTTTGTCTATTTTATGTAAAGTTTTTGACTTTATTGTTGAATTGGATTATTTCCTTCTTTCAATTATCTGTTTGCTAGGCTTGTCTGATTTTGATTTAGTCTTTTAGTTCATGCTTTGTATTAATTTATTTGAAAAATTGGAAGATTAGTATATATTACGTGTTTGATCCTTCTTTACTCGCCAAATCTTTTTTGAAAAGGTCTTTACTCGCCAAATCTGATGCTTTATGTTTTGGAAATTACAGTTTCGATCTGATGCATTCTTTTTTTTAAGAAGATTGCAGCTCATTGTAATGGTTGTTGGAAAGGGAGGAGGAGGGGAAGAAGAAATGAGTTTTAATTTTAGGTAAAATGTTAAAAGGGGAACTGGGTCGGATGGGTCATATTTTAGGCCTGATTGATTTTTTTTGGGAGGGGATTTGTTCTTTCAATCGGTCGGCGCCACATGTCATGTCCGTTAAAGTAGGGGTTAATATAGAACTTTGTTGGACGGCAGGGGTATATATGAACAGGAAGTATAACAGGAGATAGGAATGAACAATAAATGAAAGTAGAGGGATATATTTGGCCGTTTTCCGTAGCTTTTTTTACTCTTGTATTTTTCAAACCTGTTTTGAAAATGCTTTTCTTGAGCCAGGGTCTATCGGAAACAACCTCTCTACCTCACACAAGGTTGGGTAAGGTCTGCGTACATCACCTCCGCCCCATACCCCACTTATAGGATCACACTGGTATGTTGTTGTTGTTGTTGTATGGTAGAATATTGTTAGCAATATCCTCATTGGACAGCTATATGCACTTCACCACATCTATCATTTTCATCCTTTTGGATATCTGCCNAAACATTTCTTGTCCTACCAACTTTGCAGGAAAAAGGCAATGAATATGTCAAGACAGGCAAGAAGCATTATTCGGATGCTATTGATTGCTATACGAGGGCAATAAATCAGAATGCTTTAAGTGATACTGAACAGTCAATTCTCTATTCAAACAGAGCTCATGTCAATCTTCTCTTGGGAAATTATAGACGTGCACTCCAGGATGCAGAAGACGCAGCCAAATTAAATCCAAGTAATTTTAAGGTATGCTTTTCAATATGCATCATGTGTCGTATTATGGGCCATAGTTTCCTGCAAGTGCTGCATGTTCTTGGAGTATGTGACATGTCTTGTACTTTATGCATAGGCACTTTATAGAGCAGCAAAGGCATCATTTTCTCTGAATCTGTTGGCTGAAGCAAAAGAGTTCTGTGAGAGAGGTCTTCAGCTGTCGTCATCTAATGAAGAACTGAAGAAGCTTGCTAGGCAGATTGATATACAAAATTCAGAAAAGGAACGGCGTGATGCTGAAGTGTCTAAAGCAGTATCTTCTGCTAAGGTCTAAAACTATAGTTTTATCTGCATATAGTAACAATTCTTCATTCTGGTGGGTTCCCACCACTTAATATGAACTATACAGGCCCTTGTTTCTGCATTCGAAACTAGAGAATTGAAGATTGGGAAGGCCATGTATCAAGAACTCACTGGACGAAAAAAGCCAACATTAGACAGAAATAATATTCTTCATTGGCCCGTTCTTCTGCTGTATCCAGAGGTTATGTCCAGCGACTTCATAGAGGACTTCTGTGAGACTGACATGTTTTCAGCTCATCTTGATATGATATCCTTTGCTATACCTCCTATATATAGATATACAAATAATAAATACGAATTTTTAAGCCAAATGTCGTTCTCTCTGCTTAACACCAATTTGACTAATCATTCTTATGTAACTGAAGCAAGTTATTGTTTTTCCATTATTATGAAGGATTTTGGTCATCCTTAGCTTCCATACATGTTTTCAGAAGGTTGTCCGCCTCTGTCATGGGATAAAGAAAATGCTTACACTCGTGATGCTATTGAGTTGTATTATGAGGTATATAACTGTTTCATCATCTCTGGTGGCAACAATTCTTTTACGTTTCTATTTTTCATGTCACACAGAGAATCATTCCAATACATAATCGTAATACGAGCACCTATTGGGCACCATTGAACATGGTTTTGCTCTACATTGGTGTCTAACATACTGCTGTGTGCCCAAAATCTGGCACATTAAATTAGAAAGAATCTCATTATAATGAAGTTTTCTTAAAAAATCACCTACGATGATGTTAATTGAATTTTGTGGTTTGATTTGATGAAATTAATATGATTGGAAATTTGGAATAGAATTTTTTCAAGTTTGAGTTCCATTAGATAAAGATGCATAGGTACAAATGCTTTTTGGTTCCGTTTGATCTTATTGTCAAATTTAAAGTAAGAGGTCTAATTGGTGCATCCCCCTAGAACTTTTTTATCTATTCTACTTCATGAAAAGGCAAACCTTCTGAGAAATTCTTTTGTGAAATTGGGCATGTAGTCACCACAGTCAATGGGGTGAAGGAGCTTTAGATCTGTAGTGGCGCAATGTTGGAGGCTGGGGCATCTGCCCCTTTGGGTCTTGAAATATATCATCAGGGTAGTTGATAAGCTCTTAGGGGTCGTTTGGTTTAAAAACAAGTTATACTAGGATTGTAATATAAGGATTAATGATGCAGGGATTGTAATACAGAGATTACTTTTTATCGAGCCTCTGGTTCATTGTATTAAAAATTGTATATATAGTGTATAACTTAAACTTGTGATTGGTTTAAACTGTATAAGAGTTTGGAGAAGGGTTTGAGGAGACCCACATGGGTAGTTTTGGCATTTTGAATATTTTATCCACGAATAACTGCAATACTGCATCATGGTATTGTCATACCACATTAGTCTTGGTATAAAACAATACACCAATCATACCAACCAGAAAGAAGGTCATACATGATTCAAAAGACAATCCAGACATTGGATAAAACAGTACCAAATCTTATACCATGATTATTTCATTCAATCCGTCAAAATAAACGAGCTCTTAATGCTTTCCTTTTTAGTGCCACCAGTTCAAGCGGATGTAATGTGCTTCTCTGTTCTGAACTTGTGATTGAGCAGGCTTGTGCTGGAGTCTGTTTATCCAAGCGAGATATTCTTCGCTATCTGCTGGAAGGAACAGCTGCTTCTCATGTGGAAGACTTTGGTAATGAGGAGAACGGTTCTGCACAGAGTTCAACCAAGGATAGCATTTCACAAGGTACACTCCCCCATCTCTATATTCGGACAGATGAAAATTTGAGGAAGCTCCACTTTCAAGACTATTGCAATCTTTAGTAGATTTTCTGCCTAGTGTCTGAAACAAGAGACCCCTTGTACTAATTCGAAACATAGTGCAGATTATAGTGTGTGCTGGTCTTAGGTGGTCCGCTGAAGGGGTTTCCATGGTTTGGTTTAGCCTTCTTTTTCCAAAATACTTGGACTTTATCACATTTTTGCTTGTTTATTGAGTATAATGAAAGTTAGACTCTCCAAACCATCACTGTTGTCTCGGCTTTCCTTTGATATGGGTTTGCACCTTTTTATTTTTAAAAAATGTGGAGTTGCACTTGATTGTCGACTTTATATGTCTATGGGTACAATTATCTCCTCTCCTATAAACAATGGCATACTTTTTAGCGGTAGGTATTACAGTCTTGGTTCAAATGTACAAGTAGAGTGTTTCTGCAGTAGTTGCTTTTACTTTCAACGACCTTAGTCTAGTGGTAGATAATACAGTCTTGGTTCAGATGGTGTACCTCTTTTGCTCAGTGGCGGAGCCAGATTTTTCACTAATGGGGGGTCAAAATATAAAGAAGTAGACCCATAAAGAAGCCAAGTGGTGTCAATATGTAGTATATATATATTAAAAAAAAATTTACGTAGCTACACAGTGTAATTTTCCGACGCCCCTTGAATACATGTGGCTCCGCCACTGCTTCTGTAAAAAATGTGGTGCATCTTGATCCATGTCACTAAGCTTTGTCTTTTCCCTTTTGCCTTTATGGACTAATTTCGTTCTTATTTTTCTTCACTCGATCTTTTCAGCGGATGCTCCTAGATGGGTCAATATTAATGAGAAAAGAACACTTTATGATGTTCTAAAGGAACCGAGTTTTGTTGTTACTGGAATCCCTGGTATGCGAGTTTATTTCCTAGGATGTATTTGCACTTTATGCCGTCCCATCGCGCTCATCTAATGTAAGATTATTTTCTTATCTTTTGTTGTAGTATTTTGGGTTGTCTCAAGGAACTCCAGCTTCCATAAAAACTTCAAATCGGGAAATTGGGCTCCTCCAGAACTTGCATGAATTTGTGGAGTATAGTTGCAAGTCCCTTGTGAGTTCCTATTGACATGTGCACAATACACCGTTAGTTAAGTCTTTGATAATGTAACTTTGGTATAGTTGATTTTGTCCATGTAGAGTAGAGAGAATTAGGATTCTTGCTCATATTCTGTAGACTGCAGCTGTGCAAATCATTAAGGTTTCAGCTGTTTGTAGGTGTAAAATTAGGGGTAGGAGGGGAATTGTGTTGGTGTTTACCTGTTAACAAAATGAAACATGTTTTATTCATTTATTAAAGGACATTATGGGAGAGAGAGTAGTTGTGATCATATAGAAGTCTAGACTGGTTAAAATTATGTCTAGTCACTAGTGTTGGCAACATAGACTTGGATATGCAATAACATCAAATGTTTCTTATCGTTGCTCTTTAGTCTTTACTACTTTAATTGATTTTTCAACAAACATCCAACTTAATGGCTTCATTCTGCCACGTGCAATAGAAATACGGTATATCTGCCAAAAACTAATACAATAGACAGAGTTTATAGTCTCTACTATTTAACAGTTCTATTTTGTCCTGATTAGGGACTGACGTGATAAAATTAATAATTTGCTAATCTACAAGATAGTAACTTATTTAAAAGAACCGTATGTTCTACTTGATATAATGATTTGTAAGATCAATAATCTTTTTATACGTCAAGTTATATTCTGATAGAGAATGAAGCAATCAGTTGATTTTTAAGTAGAAAAGGTTTTCAATGTTATGCGTTAAAGTAAAACTCCGTGGTAATTTACCTACCAATTTACTAGTAAAATTTGATTCTTTGTTTAAGTGATCTAAGATTCTGCCTCAAGAATCTCCAGGAATCTCGTTTCCAATTAACCTTTCTCCGATTTCCACTCTTGAAAATCTTTCACACTCCATATATACCACAGAAACTCTACCTCTTATAATTCACATACACATCATTAGTATTTAGTACTATGGCTGCTCCCATGTGCTCCTCCGTGGATCTCAGCCCCCTCTTAGGTGGCGCCACCAACGCTACCGCCGCGGCCGAGTACATTTGCCACCAGTTCAACAACGTTTCTGATAAATTCATTGACACAGGCTTTGCAGTTGACACTACTTTTTTACTATTTTCTTCCTATTTAGTCTTTGCAATGCAACTTGGTTTTGCAATGTTATGTTCTGACTCAGTTAGAGCCAAAAATACAATTAACATAAAATGTTAACCAACGTTATTGATGCCGCGGCAGGTGGTCTTTTTTATTACCTATTTGGTTTTGCCTTTGCATTTGGTAGCCCATCAAATGGTTTCATTGGTCATCATAATTTTGGCCTCAAGAATTTCCCTTCAGAGGCTTCTGATTTTGGCTATTTCTTATACCAGGGGTGTTTTGCTATTGCTGCAGCAGGGATAACAAGTGGTTCAATTGCAGAACGTACCCAATTTATCTCATATGTAATGTACTCTTCATTTTTAACAGGCTTTGTATATCCAATTACAGCCCATTGGTTTTGGTCTGGAGATGGTTGGGCCAGCCCAGGAAGAAATGATGGGAATCTTTTATTTGGGTCAGGGATAATTGATTTTGCTGGTTCAGGGGTTGTTCATATGGTAGGTGGAATTGCAGGTTTATGGGGTGCTTTAATTGAAGGTCCAAGAATTGGGAGATTTGATCATGAAGGAAAACCAGTAGCAATGAAAGGACATAATGGGACATTGGTTGTTCTTGGAACTTTTTTGTTATGGTTTTAATCCTGGTTCTTTCATGAATATTTTGAAGGCTTATGGAAATAATGGGTCATATTATGGACAATGGAGTGCTATTGGAAGAGCTGCTGTTACTACCACTCTCTGTGGATGCACAGCTGCTTTAACAACATTATTTGGAAAAAGGTTATGTTAAAGGACAATGATCTTGAATTTCCTGAAATTGTGTCTTTTGATTAGTTGATGATTTTGATCTATATATATATTTTTAAGTGCATAACATTTATGTTATTTTTTATAAGCTAAAGTTCACTGTGTACACAAGTGTTTTGCACACAATATTCTCCTGAGATACATGCAAGTTGATCCAGACACCACCATTAAAAATATTCTCTTTATACTTCATATACCTTTGTAAGAAAGACTAGTGTTTGTCTGGTCTAATATTCCTCTTCATCTAACAGGTTACTCATTGGCCACTGGAACTTAACGGACGTCTGCAACGGTTTGCTAGGTGGCTTCGCGACAATCACAGGAGGCTGCTCTGTGGTGGATCGATGGGCAGCCATAATTTGTGGATTTGTTGCAGCTTGGGTTCTCATTGGTTGCAACAAGCTCGCGGAGAAATTCCAATACGACGATCCACTAGAAGCAGCACAACTCCACGGTGGTTGTGGTATATGGGATATTATTTTCACAGCATTATTTACTGAAAAAAAGTACATAAACAAGATATATCCAGACAAAGATATGGATCGCTAAGGGGTGGAGGAGCAAAGATATTAGCAGCACATGTAGTGCAAATAGTTGTGATTGTGGGATGGGTGAGTGTGACAATGGGGACATTGTTCTGGATTCTACATAAGCTAAATCTTTTGCGGATGAAATTGCAGGAATGGATCTCACTAGTCATGGGGGTTATGCTTATTACAACGACGATAACAATGAGCAGACACTGGCTCCCAAGTTGGAGATGACTGGTAGAGCAATAGTTTAGTTTAGGTGATGATCATGCTGCACTAGTTTAGATGAAATGAAAACATGTTATTGTACATAGAATTGCAGTAGTATATGCATATGAGTAGTTTTGAACAAACTTTTGCATGTCTAACAGCGACAGTACATTTTGAGCCTTGGAGGGGACAATGTTACCCAAAAAATAGACGAGAACTAAGCAATCTTCGCACCTTACGATTGGCATTTGAGTTTATAATTAGAATCTCAATAAGCTAGTCATGAACAAATTAATGAAGTGGACTTGTTATAAAACTCCGTCCAAAATATTGAAAATTACTAGTAAATGAATAACAAGTAAACATCAGAACGTGGAAGGAATGAAAATTAAAATAGACGCTAGATGATGCACCGATCATGAGAGAGAAAGCCCTCTTTCCTCATTTTCTTTATCTTTCTACAAAGCACCTTTTGGCACTCATCAGAACGTGGAAGGAATGAAAATTAAAATAGACGCTAGATGATGCACCGATCATGAGAGAGAAAGCCCTCTTTCCTCATTTTCTTTATCTTTCTACAAAGCACCTTTTGGCACTCTGCACAATACATTTTCTCGTTTTCATTTTTCCTTCTTATTTTAACAACCATGTCATTTTATGGGTCCATTGTACATTAAAATAGGGAGGATCCGTTGATAACTTGATAGTATGACAGTAAAGATATTCCTTCTACGCCAATTTATGTATCATAATCTGTTCCAAACAAAAAACCATAGTACTTTTTATTTAGAAATATGTTACTTTTATTGAGATGATTTATAATCGCTTGTTTTGGATCACAAATATCAATAATCAAACTTTTTTCTTAAACTTCGTGTCAGGGGATAAGATATTGTACTTTAGAATAGGGAGGATCCGTTGATGCAAAGATGCCAGAGTTTGTCCAAAATCAGCAATGGTGGTTCAGTCTTGGAAGTAGAGCATTAACTTGAAAGATGTACTATAGACCACCAGAACATAATAAAAAACATCCATTTTAAAAGAGTTACTCTGCCCTCTTGATACTCTTTTTTCCACTTTCTTTTTATTCCACACAGATACTTAGGGAAGGAGAGAGAAATACTGTCCGAGCAATAGCATGAAACCAGCAAGTCAGCAACATAAAGAACATAAAGACTTCATACGAACATATCCAGGACAACACGGAGGCAGCTTCCGTCATGCATCAGGTCAAAAGCTTTGTTTATGTCCGCAAGCGTCATATTATGAGTGATGTATTCATCCACCTTGATTTCCTGTAAGTATGGAAGCATTGATTGAATGAAAGGTGTAGGAATTGCAATAACTAAATGGAAAAGAAATGAAGAAACATATAGAAGAGGAAAGACAAAACTCACCTTCTTCAAATACTTGTCCACGAGCCAAGGAACTTGGGATCGGCTTTTGAAACCACCAAATGCGGTTCCCTTCCAAACACGGCCAGTCACCAGCTGAAATGGACGAGTGGATATCTCCTGACCAGATGCAGCAACACCCACAATCACCGAGGTTCCCCATCCCTGCAATTTCAATAAGATCGGACACATTCAGCATCAGTATCAGTATTCAGTATCTTGTACGGAGGTTGGGGCATGGATGATATTAAAAAGGGAAAATGAATACAGAACGTGAAAAGCGAACAGAAGCTCAAAAGATAAAGAGAAGGTTGGACGGGGTAACGGAGCGATTTCAAGCGGAGTGAGGCAGATGCAACGAAACAAACACCCCTCCCCCCCAACTACCATCCCAATATTATTGATAAGACACTAGCATAGTTTACCTTGTGACAGCACTCTAAAGCAGCCCTCATAACCGAGACGTTTCCAATGCACTCAAAACTGTAATCAACACCACCATCTGTAAGATCCACAATGACTTGCTGTATTGGTTTCTCATGCTCTTTGGGGTTGATGAATTCAGTCACACCAAATTTTTTGGCTGCATACGACAGTTTAATATATGATGAGAGACGACGTGACAAATTATACACCAAACAACTGGATAAAATTAATGACACAAGCATAATAACTGTTGTGCTGCTCAAGTTTGATTGGAGCGCTATTTCTTGAATCAGATTAAATTTAATCAGACGTCTTTTCAGCATGATTTCCAGTCTGGCATAAGCGTCAAATATATTTAGTGGGGAGGCATGATTTGGTACGGAATATTATCTCTTGCTTTCAAAATTTTAAAGGTTGAATTGAAATCAATCTTGATGGGGGTGATAGAATGATATTGAGCTTGCGCATTGAAGTGACGCACCTATAGGGGTTGAAAGCACAAGGCCTTAAGGCCTAAAGGTAATGGTTGGCATCCTTTCTTAGTTGGAGGAGTGGCTGATGCATTTTATTTTGTAGAAAGATTGAGGGCAATCGAGACAAGGAATTACTGCAAGGCTTCCTTTGCTTTTCCATTATCATTATATTCCATCCCATAAGGGAGCTCTCCACNATATATATATATATAAAACGGAAATCGCTTATCAGCTTTTGATGAACATTAGTAACTTGTATTTGAATTCTCAAGAAAGCAATCTTAGGAGTAGCTCAGATTTTGACAAATCTTCTGTAAAAGATTCTTGGAGCCTATTCAAATCCTTACTAATCCTAAAAGTTCAACTAGTCCACAATCTTAGAGAGAGTGGATGAAGCTGTACCTCTATCGAACTTTTTGCTGTCAATATCAATCCCAATAATTCGCGAAG